TTTTATGACATATTTTCGATCATTTGACCTATCTTTTTGTTTATCTTTCTTCGGGGTCGAATTTGACATCACTTTGACTGATCAAGATGATCTTATTTATATTTTTGATGATCTTCTATGCTTTAGACCCTCATATTAGGATACATAGTTTGCGTTCGTGGATAGTTTTCTTATGTCACTTTAATTTATGATTTTTATCGATAGTCTTTTAGTAGTTTGATCATTCTTTGTGGTTTGTTTTTCAATTCAGTTAGATATGCTCTTATATATCTTTTGTTGAAGTTTTTTTTGTTGTGTTTTAACATTTGTCCTTTTATGATCTAAAGTAGATAATTTTGCATTAATTGTTATAAGAAAAATATCATAATTATGTGTTTAGTTTATGATTATGGTTATAACCTTTCTTTGTAACTTTTAATATTTCCTCTTGTTAATAAAATTAGCAGTTCCTATAAAAAAAGTAATGATCGAAATGAAAACATTCATTAATGATAATGACTAAAATGTAAAATTTTCTATTTTAGTTATTAAAGTGAAACTACTCTAAAACTTAATTGACCATTATTTGTATTTTACCCTAATTTTTCAAGGTTTTTTTTGGGTAAACTATATCAGACCCAATTATAGTCTCTTTTCATTTTGACTATTATTTTTGAATTATTGTCAATCAAACAACCTAACTATTTAATAAAACCACTTACAGTTAACAGCTAATGAAAGTGGTGATGTGGCAGTTAGTAAATTGATATAATTCTACATTTGATCCTTATTACTTATCTATTCTATCTATTTAGTCCTAATTTTAATTTAAAAAAATACTCTCTAATTAAGAAGTGTTATTCGACACTTGGTTGGATGAATTTCTTTAAATCAATTTTAATATTTCAATTGAATAATTTTTCAACCGGTCGTTTTAAATGGAAAAAGAAATTCCACACTGAAGATGGCATTTCGGGGAATCGAACCAATGCCCAAAAGCATCACTAGCAACGCCTCAACCACTGCAGTAAAGCCTTCGTTTATAATGTGTTTTCAAAATATTTTATATAATCTAGTTTATATTATTGCAAAAAGAATAATACGAAAATGAAAAAGTTTTAATGCAAATTCAAATTACATATTTGAAAAAAAATCTGTTAATGGTTTAAAAAAAAAGAAAGTCTTTTAAGGGCTTATATTTAAAGTAAATATATTTAAGATTTATACATTTGTAACTTAAATTATGTTTTTATATTATTTTTAAATGGTTATAAATTTAAATAAAATGAGAAATAATTTTAAAATCTTTTGAAGACGAGAATTTAAGATTTGAATTAAAAAAATTTATTGTCATTTAAGTTGTGCTCGTAACTTTGAATTTAAAATTTTAATGTAATTTTATTTTTTAAAATAAAAATATAAATTTAATTTGGTGCAACTAATTTTAATAATTTTATATTCTCATAATTATTTTTAAATGATTATAAATTTAATTTTTCCGCTAATAAAAGATATTTAATGATATATAATCTAATAATATAAGTATTTTGCTCTTCATTTAATCAAGTGGTGCCATGTGTCACCACTTCATTGGTAGGGCTGTTCATGGACAATTATGCGATTTTTCTAACCGTAATCTATCCATTAAGAAACGGCTAATATATTACAATTATTTGTCATTTTTTTATAATTCATACTAAAAAATGTAGCACTTAACACATACTTACACTGTTGTAATTCAATAAAATAAACAAGTGTAGCACTTAACACATATTTACACCAATGTAAGTGAATAAAACTAAAAAGTATAGCTGTCGACACCCGTTTTCGCCTGGGATCTTGCTAATTTTATTATTATTAATTTTAATTATTATTATTATTTTATATTATTTTATTATTTTTGTTTTTGTAGACCCAAAATACAAAAAATACAACAGGATCAAATTGGACCCCATTACAACCGGTCCAACATAGCAAACCCACACCCGAAGTCCAATTACAAGAGGGCCCAATCGATCAAAACCTAACCCCAATTAGGGTTTATTAAACCCCTAATTGTTTATCAGCTCCAACAGCCATCACCAAGAGCTTTTCCTGTTGCTACCATTATTCTGGCCTTCTATTCGCGTTGTTATCACTATGCCAACATCATCATCTCACATCAACAGTGAAAATAATAAATAAAATATCAGTTTGCACCTAACCAAACACCAAAACCCAAAAAAATTGACAAAATCCTTAAAACCCAGATTTTCCTACCAACCAAAACACCCCTACTGTCAAGCCATCATCATTTTCTCTGTCAAGCTTCACCAAACATGCAAGGAGGGTAAAATATATGGATACAACAAATTCAAACAAAAGGGGGAGGGATTCGGAAAAAGAAAAGAAAGAAATAGGGGTTCGATTTTTTTGGGGGGAAAGAGTTCTTTTTGGGAGGGGATTTCAGGGGATTCGAAAAAAGTTCGAACCAGATTTAAAAAATATATATAAATAGAAAAAAATCGAAAACATGCCTTCTAGCCTTCAAACCGAAGATCCGTACGGTGAGAAGACCCATCTCGTGGCCTGCAAGCACATACTTAAAACACAACACCATTAGACGGAGAGTTTTATAGTGGAGGAAGGTAGTTTTTTTTTAATCTTCTCCCTTATATCTAGACTTATAGGAGTGTTTTCTTAGTGATTGGGCCTCGAATCCAGGTTAAGGAAGATAAGAGGAAAATTTTGGTGAGTTTTATTTCATTCGGACGTCATGAGCCACCATCGCCAAACGGTGATCATCTTCCCTGACGATGGAGCGAGGAGAGAGTTTTCTCTTATCCTTTCTCTCTCAATTTCGACTGTGGGTTAAAATGAGGTTAGGGTAGTAAAAAGTTTTATAATGGGGTATTTAAAGCCTCCCAAAATGACGTAGTTTTGGGCTAGGGTTTTTGAACCCTGGTGCTTGGGTAAATCTTTTCCTCAGCCATCCAATGTTTGTAACGTTTTATTTTAGTCACTAAACAAGAGTTTTCACATTTATGTTTTAAGCTCTTATTTTGTTGGCTTTATATTTTAGTCAATGTGTGTATAGATGATGTTATTTGGGTAAATTTTTCAAATGGGTCTTTAAATCTTTGAAATTGTAATTTTAATTCCTTGTAATATGTTATTAAAGTTTCTGATTTTACCTCCCTTTTTTACGCGCGTTGTATTTTGGTCACCATAAGCTATGCACTTTTGAATGTTTTAATTTTCGGCATGTAATATTGAATTATTCCATTTTGGTCCCAAATATATGAGTTTATTACATTGCTAGTGCTTGTAATGTTCGATTCTTGTATTATATGCTTTGTTATTTATTTGATTTGCAATGGTTGCCTTGATTTCTTGTTGGTTTTATAGTTTAATTCCTATAGTCATCGTCTTTATTAGTTTGATCCATCATTTACATATTTGCTAATTTCTAACATTGTAATATTTTCAAATATATTTTTACTCGAAGAATTTATAGAAACACATCTTAACTGACAAGGAGTGTGTTTCCAAGAATTATTCGAACGAAATAATACCTTTTATATATTCAAATGAATTTTTTTTAATAGAATTAATATATGTATTTTATCTAAAAATTTGGGCAATATTATTTTGTATGGGGAATCTATGGAAATGCCCCCTTAACTGACAAGGAAGGTATTTCGAGAACTGTTCTTGCGAAATAACAACCCTTATATTTGTTTATAAAAAAGATCATAATTTAAATGCATATTCGAATTCGTCAATTTCAATATTTAGATGACTTATAATCGCTTAGGTACCGATTTCGGGTGTTGTGGGGGTGCTAATCATTCCTCACGTGTAATCGACTCCCCAACCCTTTTTCAATACGAATTTCTGGTTAAACGCAGATCATTTTTTTATCTTTTAAAATTATTATTTTTTAAATTATTTTAAAAGGTATTTTTAGGTATTCGACCTACCTAAGCTAAAGATCGATGGCGCCTCCAAAACTATTTATTTGTTCTTTATTTTAAAACCCAACCTTTTCCAAGATTAAGTTGGATCGCTCCCCGCCATAGCCCAAAAAGCTTAAGGACCGTTTCGACAGTAACACTTAACACATACAACACCGGTGTAAGTGAATAAAATAAAAAAATATAGCACTTAATACACACTTACAACGGTGTAAGTGAATAAAAAAAAGTGTAGCACTTAACACATACTTACATTGATGTAAATATGTACATCTCTCAATATTTTAGTACCTAACAATAAACATATAACTATATTAGTGTAAGTATGTTTATATATTTTCAAAGAAATAAAAATTAAAAATAATAAAAAAATATATATTAAGTTATTTGTATATATATTTTATTGAATATATATATAAATTACAAATAATAGAAACTTATATTAAATTATTTATGTAAAAAATATAATAAATTAGAAATTTAATTATAAATTTAATTTATTAATGGCGTTTATCAAAATTCGTAACAATTAACCATCATTTTTAGCGGTTCGGTTAATCAAAATCGTTTAGTATTAACAATTTGGTTAATTAACCTGTTAAATATAATAGTTATAATGGTTACTGGTTACAGTTAATGGTTTCAGGTTTTTTAAACACCCCTACTGATTGGTGAATGTATTATTTAATTAAAATATTAAAATAAATTAAAAAGCCTCCGATCAATTGGTGACACGTGACACTTCCTGATTAGAGAGTGGATTTTTTTAAATTAAATTAAAATTAGGACTAAATTGATAGAATATATAAGTAATAGGGAAAAATGTAGAATTATATCAATTTTACTAACTATCACGTCACTACTTTCGTTAATGACTAGTGGCCTGATTAAATGCATTTAAATAAGTAGGTGGTCTGATTGATAAGAATTCAAAAATAATAGTCCAAATAAAAACAGGCTATAGTTGAGTGGTCTCTAATATATTTTACTCTTTTGTCTACCTTTGTCGTCTCCTTTGTAAATAAAATGAAAAACAACCTACAATTCTCAAAAACCCCTAATGCTTTCCTTTACCCTAAACCCTATAATACGATGAACAACAACGATCAGATATCAATGGAAGACCAATCTCAACCTTCGAAAAGTTCTCAAGTTATTCAAAAATTAGCTTCGGGTCCTCTCTCTTCCTCTCTTTCTTCACTCTCTTCCTCTTCTCGAACCCTCCCTTCTAATCAAGACTTTCATTTCTTCAACAACTTCAACGATTTCAAGCTTCCGATCGATCAAATCGCCAAAATATCAGATTCTTTGCTTGAATCCATTGGCGCATCGGCTAAAACCTGGGGCGCTAACAAGGTGATCAATTTCCCTAACAATATTGAAAGTATAGTCGATGATGAAGCTTATGATTGGCTCGTTGATATCAACGATGAAATTTGGGAACGATTCGACGTTTCCATGGACGAGTTTCAAAAGATTCGAAAGAAAGAAGAGGCATCGGGTCGGTTCATAGGATCGGATCCGGATAATATTGAGTTTCAGCTGGTTAACGGGAAGAAGAAGAAGAAGAAGGTGGATGGTGGGTTAATGAGTGACTCGGCTGGAGTGTCAGTGAGTGGGATCGAAGGTGGGGGTTTGAGTTCTTCTGGAGTAAAGGTGAAGCAAGGGGCGTTGGCTACAGGGACGACAGGTAAAGCGAAGGTTCCATTTCATATACCAACGATACGGAAGCCTCAGGAAGAGTATAAAATACTTGTCAATAATTCGAATCAGCCTTTTGAACATGTTTGGTTGCAGAGGAGCGAGGATGGGCAGCGTTTTGTTCATCCACTGGTTGGTTTTTTCTTGTTTAATATGTCTTCTATGTTTTTTTCCTCTTTTTGGGTAGAAATATTTTGCAGTTGATTTGTAAATGTTAACATGATATTTCTGATTTTAGTTGGTTACTTGTGTTATAGAATGACCGCGCAATGTTCCGTTTTTGTTTAGTTTGGTTAATTAAACTAGTGTTGAATTTCGTATGTTGTGGGATAATTTCATAATCTTTCTGTACTGAGGTGCAAAGGGTTAAAATTTAAAAAGCTCCTGCCTGAGTAAACTAAGGATCAATTCATTTGTGTGCTTTTCTCTCTCTCTCTCATGTGTGTGTAAGCTTAAGAAATATGTTTCTGATAATGGAACTTCAAAAGTGGTCTAATGTAATTTTTTCTTCCATGGACTGGTACACTCATTGTCTCATGTTTGTTGTTGATGGTTTAAACACTGATACCTAGAAATTTTAATACAAAAAATAAAGAAATTGGAGAGAACTTCAATAAGAGGCTTTCTTTTTTGGCTTTAAATGCCTCACAAATAGGTGTCCCTACACTCGTCACTCGGCAAGTGTGAGTCTGATCAATGGGCCTTGGCCTAAAGGGTTTATTGAACTTTTTTGTCTGGTGCTAAGGCACAGCGCCTAGGCTCACTCCTTAACAACACTGCTTTGGGAGTTTTGATGCTTGTGGTCAGTAATAGAATAGTAGGACAGCAATGAAATTCTTTTATTGGCATTGCTAGGGCATTGTGCTTGGTGCTTTTATTTTCTTTTGAGTGATAATGCACTTGCATATTTTATGCGGCAAGAATTTATGTACAAGAAGTAGCATTTAGCAAGAGTGATTAATATAGTTATTTTGAATGTTTTCACTGCAAAGAAATCTTTCCCATGGAGTCAAAATAAATGATTAATCTGCTGTTTTGAAGTTTTCTAGAGTTAGAGGCACCTTGAATGGTTAAAAGGAAGGGGGGATTTCTGTAAAATATGTCATTGAACTGATAGTATCTGTTTGTATTGGTTTGTAGGAAAATATCTTGTAATCAAGGTTATTATTTCTTTATTGTGGCAAATTGTGACGATAATAGGAACTAGAAGATGGGAGGGATACAAATGTTTTTAAGAATGTTACCATGTTCATGAGAGATACCTTAGTAACAATAGTTAGATATGGATGTGATAAAAAATTTCATTTGTTTTGTTCTTATAGATTATAATCTCACACATACGACTATGTTCAACAATAGCTTCTAAAACTTACTGGTTTATCTCATGTTAATTTGTGGTGCTTGTCAAAATAAGAGGGAAAAAACAATTCTGTTTCTCCGTTGCAGGAGAAGCTCTCTGTTATGGATTTTGTCGATAAAGATATAGCAGATATTGAGCCTGTTAAACCCCCATCAATCGAGTCTACCTCATTCAAGCTGGTTGAGGAAGTAAAAGATTTGAAGGATTTAGCGGCGAAGTTGCGCAGTGTGCAGGAGTTTGCGGTAAAAATCTTACTTTTAATATACTTTATCTGATGTTGCATGTTTTGCTATAGGTTTATAGTTAGATATAGAATGAAGTGTGTGCCTGATCTGAAGAAAGGTTTATGTGTATCTCTGGTATCAAGGCTATCAGTTGCGCTGGTCTTTGTATGCATAAATATAGTATTAGTTTCTTTATTCTCATAATATGTACCTATTTGCATTTAGTTTATTTTCTCTGTTGTTATTCTCAGGTTGATTTGGAGCATAACCAATATCGATCTTTTCAAGGACTAACTTGCTTGATACAAATTTCTACCAGAACTGAGGATTTTATTGTAGATACTTTAAAGCTTCGAATTCATGTTGGCCCATATCTTAGGGAAGTTTTCAAGGACCACACCAAGAAAAAGGTTTGTCTTTTTTATAGCTTTTTGTTTTTGGAGTTCACTGCATTGTTTGATATCCTTAATTCAAATAGGTTATGCACGGAGCAGACAGGGATATTGTGTGGCTTCAACGAGACTTTGGCATATATGTGTGCAATCTCTTTGACACAGGACAGGTTTTATACTATCAACCCGCTTCTATGAACTTGTTGATTTAATTTGAGAATTTTTTGATTTCATTTTGTTGGTATATGTTAAGAAGAAAAGTTTATGTGGACCATGATAACATTTTATGAAACTATTTGTTGGTTAATTAGCAGTGTGACAATGAATTAAGGGAAAGGAAATTGGTACAACGTTTATATATGAACTCACTTTACTTGCGGTTTAGATGATTAAACTAATTTGTGGATTAGATGATTAAACTAAACTGTTTTATGGATGATTATAAGGATGCTAAGCTCATAGGAACTTATTGATGAAGTTACCATCTAGTTAACTAGTTTTGGGTGCAATTACTATACACATGAATTGATTGTTTTGAATTTGAAGTTAAAAGTTGTGTTGGACTTCTGTCAATATGTTGCCTTATGATTTTGCATATTTCTCAGGCCTCAAGGGTCCTGAAATTGGAAAGAAATAGTTTGGAGCATCTTCTGCAACATTTTTGTGGAGTTACAGCCAACAAAGAGTGGGTTTTGATCTAAATTTGATATTCTTTATGGCTTTTACTTTCTACTTCTCTCTTCTTTGATCATCATCTATGCCATCTTCCTTACAGTTGATTAGCCAACTCAATGCAGGTACCAGAATGCAGATTGGAGATTGCGTCCTCTTCCTGATGAAATGCTCAGGTAACATTGCTTTTTCACTCTTCAGCCAACTCTCTTACTCCCTCGCTAGTTAAATTATGTCTGATGCTGCACTCACATTTGTCATTAAAGTAGATGGTTGATTGCAATTGACCACTTTTTATAAAAGAAGAAAAAAAAGAGAGAAACAAAGCATTACTTCACCTATGAATTTGACATTGTTTATGCATCAAACATTTGTTGTTTTCTAGGTTACTATACCGTAGTCTCTTTTGAACAATTTTACACTAACTGTGACATCTTTACTTTTTCCTGTTCTCAAACTTATCGGAAAAGGAAAAAAAAACTTAATCATCAAATCTAGACTGCCATTTTATGTTTTTTATGAGAAGAAAACAATCAAAGACGAAGATGTAAATAGTAGTTAAATTTGACTTTTAAATCAATATGAGGTAAAAACACATTGCTCTTTATTTATGACTGTACTTTGTGTACTAAAATATTACTCTCTCCAAGCTTGAATAAAGTTTCAAGGTCCTGTTACTGTAATTGCAATTATTGAAGAGGAAACTTCCATTGTTGTCTGTCTCTTGAGTGTTTCTTTTTATTACCGTTTTTATGACAGATATGCTAGAGAAGACACTCACTACTTGCTGTACATTTATGATTTGATGAGAATCGAATTGCTATCAATGCCCAAGGAAGGTGAACATTTATATGCTCCCTTGGTAGAGGTATGATGCTTTAAATAGTGGTTCACAACATTTTCTACATTGACAAAGCATGCCAATATGCCCATATCATATATTGGCCCTTCTAGAATAACACTGGCTAAGAGATTTTGATTGTCTTAATATTTAGTTACATTCATGTAAGAGTTGTTTTCTTTTCCACATTCCGCTGGTTTATGACATGATATTCTGTTCATCTTCAATGTATAACTTTTAGCCGAGGTTGCGTTGAAATTTTATTTGTTCTTTTTTCAAAATAAGTTTAAATGGATGTATGAATCTGTGAACTTGATTGCTTTCTGTTATTTAATTTTGATTATTGTCTTAGTAGCAAATGTTTTCTTCTTTGCAGGTCTACAAGCGAAGTTTTGACGTATGTATGCAACTGTATGAGAAAGAGATCCTCACAGAGAATTCATATCTCCATATATATGGGTTTGTTACTTGCCCAGGCTACAAAATTTAAATTTATTTCGTAAACTTCAACTATATAATTATTCTTCTATTTAATATAGGTTGCAGGTGTCTGGTTTCAATGCTGAGCAGCTAGCAATTGTTGCTGTAAGTTTTTGTTGTTTTCATATCTATATGTGGCCCTTTGTTTACTTTTAAAATAACATACAGATTGGTTGTTAAACCATAAGAAATGTCTAATTTCAACTCAGATAAACTTATTTGATGTACAGTAGTCTTACTAGCAAAAATAGATGATATCCATTTATTTAGCTTATATGTCTCACCTATTGGCTTATATAGGGGCTTTGCGAATGGCGAGACAATATTGCCCGTGTAGAGGATGAAAGTACTGGTTATGTATTGCCAAACAAAACACTTCTTGAAATCGGTAGGAACTTTCATGTTTATTATCAAATTCTAGTAGATATATCGTTCCTTTTCCGTGTTTCTTATTGGTATTTTTACTTGAGTTCTTATTTTTCTTACCGCTAAAAGCCAAGCAGATGCCTATAACTGCTCATAAATTGCGTCGATTGTTGAAATCTAAACACCCATATGTGGAACGAAATCTTGGTGTGCTTGTTAGCATCATAAGGCAATCTATGCAGAACGCTGTTGCATTTGAAGCTGCTGCTCAACAACTTAAAATGGGACGTACACTAAATGTAAGATTCAATACAGTGATTTGATAATCCTAATATATTATAATATTTTGTTGGGCTGTTTGCATGACTCGGAAAACAAACTCCACCAAGTGATTCGTAATGTTAATATATTAAAGCTGCAAAAATGAAGTGTGGCAATTGATTTGATTCAATTGCAAAGTCTGATAAAATGTTATGCTTATTAGAAACCGTTTTAGTCCTAAGAATGTGTTGAAAATTGCTGATTTCATACCATTCTTGTGCTGATTCCTCATTAATGTTTGCTTCATTGAACTGGCCATGGATTGGGAAAATGTTAATTTTATAATTACTGTTTGTCGAGATAACTGTAAGATTTCTACTGCGTAGGCACCAGAACATATAGCATCGAACGAGGTAGTCAAGGTCTTACTTTCGGAGGTTCCAACAGACTTGAAAATTGCAAATGACGGAAAAAGAATCACAGATGGCGCTATGGTGGGACCTGATGGGATAACTGCACAAGCTGCTTACACACAACATAAACAGGAGTATATCAAGATTGGAAGCAGTGTCTCTGAACTTGACACAGGCAAAAAACAAGAAGGATTCTCTTTTGAGCCACATGTGAATGGTAGCTCAGTGCATGTGAGAGAAAATCTTGCCATTTCGGGGGAAAGTGGAGATGCAAATGCAACCACAGTTATTCCACCTTCTGCAAATGTAGTAAGTTGCTAATCCTTTTGTAGATGCGTGATTATATGTTTCCGGTCAAGTAGCCGTGATAAAATATTTGTTTCGTGTAGGCAACTGGAGCAACTATTCAAATTCTAAAGAAACCGAGTCGTGGCCTCGGAGCACTTCTGGGGAATGCTTCCACAAAGAAAAAAGTTGGTATCGAGAAAATGGTAAGTTTATGTTATTCCTCTCGCTATTCTAGCTTTTGATTTTGTTGCAACAATGAAGCTAGTAAAAATGGTGTTGCAGTCCATGACAGTCGCATTCTTCTATGTTGAGATTATTTGTAATTTTGATTCCTTTGTGCATTTATTGTGGAAAGTTATTCGCTACTAATTTGTTTATTGTCATTTAGGAGAAGGAAGAGAGCAAGTTGGCGCAGATAAGATCTTCAGTGAATCTTTCATTTCACTCATTTTCGGGCACAGAGGAGCTGTCGAAAACCCCATCGATTGAGCCAACTAAACTTCCAGCCCAACCCGAGGAACCTCCTGCTGTGATAGCTACTGAATCGTTGACATCAGAAGATGTTATCATGTTGGAAGATAATTCGAATAAAGATGAACAAATTGATGTCGGCGATAACTCGGAAGTAACTGATAGACCTGAGGAGAGTTCCATGACACCTTCCTCTGAAATGGAGAAAGAAGATGAGACCATGTCGTTATCCGATTTATCTACGAGCTTCCAACAGTGCTTTGAGTCTATGAATCAAAACAGAAAAGCAGTTAAAGTCAAGAAATCAAAAGAACCGAGTGGTCTCCTGCAAATAAAGCCATTTGATTATGAAGCAGCCAGGAAAGAGGTTAAATTTGGAGAAGATGCAGAGGACGAATCAGGAAGCCATGCAAAACATGCAGGTAAGAAGAAAAAAGGTTCAGCAGGTGGGCGACTTGAAATAGATGATGGGTCTAAACAATTTCCGCAAGCTAGAAGGCGACGAGCTTTCCCGGCATCTGGGAACAGAAGTGCAACTTTCCGGTGAGCCTCCAATTGCGAATCCTAATCTCATAAGACAAATGTTTAAACACCGTTGCATTTAAAATCTTAATAGAATAGATGATCTTGCTAGGCTTATCTGTTTAGGCTTAAACAAAGCAACATGCAAAGATTGAAATGGTTTTCTCTTAATCATGATTTTGCTTCCTAATTTTATCCACTTATATGTAGTATTTGCTCTCCTAAATATTTTCTTATATTCTTTTTCATATCTTCTCTTTCTTCGTGAGAAAAAAATAATAATGATAAAGGCCGGCATGAACTGAAAGAAAAAAGAGAGTTGAATCTCCTATTTTTATTGAATAGAGAGCATATTTTGAAGGTAAATATCATGATTCAGACTCACATAATAGGTGAGACAATACGAATATCTTTGATCATTTGTTTAGTTAATAAGTTCTGAATATCTTGTTTTATTTTGAGAAAAATAATTTACTGAAAATGTATTCATGTGTCGTTAAATCAAAATATTATGAGTTCTATTTTCTGGGTGAATTAAATAAATTTATTTAAAATTTTCATTAACTTAAAACAAGTGTGAGTTCGAAAATTGGATGAATGCTCAAAGCACTAGTACAAAAACACAGTAACATTAGTAAAAATGTTATGCATTTACCTCATAATTACATTATTTTAAAACCAATTGTTCATCAACATCTCATGTAAAAATAATTTTTATTTCAAATACCCATACTCAAACCAATTTCAGACCAATGTCCATCATGTAAAGTCTCCAGTACATACTATCATTAATTATATAGACTTTTAGACAATACGAAACGAAGTAATGACTTGATACTGAAACTTATTTACGCCTATCCTAATTATGGAAAATGTGTCATATTATTAGATTTAATAGTCTTTTAATAGCACGAATCAAGTGACCTTTGTTATAATGAAATTGTGATTATTTCTTGAGGTCTTGAGTCCGAACAAAAATACTAGGATTATGAGCTTTTAATGTTAAATTTAAAAATTATCTTTGAACGGATACTACATTGTACTTATCACATATTAAAAAAAATATCACTTGATATTAATGCGAGTTCGGTTATTGAGACTAATGAGTCATTTTGAAACCGGCACAAATGCCATCCTTAATGAGTTCAGATCATAATGGACTAACGAGTCCTTATCCCATAAAATTAGACTAATGAGTCCTTTTTAGAGTATAATCAATCTTGTGACATGTTAACTATATCCAATGGTTTTAATATTAACATTAAGATAATATATTTGATTGTTTTCAACCATCACGGTGCTTACGATGGTTTCATTTTTAGCATCCTGAAATATTATTAGATGTATCCAGCTCACCATATTATCTTGGTCCTAACTAATAAAGTCCATCCGTATCATTTTTTTTCTAAGGTGAATATTTACTTATTTCTTTTACGTAAAAAAAAACAGTGAGTAATTATTTAGAAGTTACATTGAAATGGATAGTTTTTATTGGTTGAGATTACAGATGACGTGATCCATCGTATAGTTTATCCAGATGACCTATTTATTAATCGACTCGTTTGTAACATTTTAAAATTAAGTAATTTATTTATAACTTCAATAATAATTTCATTAACAAAGAACTTAATACCAAGAAAGAAGGCACAGACTAACAGAAACGGGGTGATTCTTTTTCTGACGCGTTATAAGATGATAGGCTAAAATGATGTATTCTTGGCCCGACCTGTGAAAACAAGAAAAATAAAAACAAAAACAAACATCGAATCAATCACCGTTTAACTGCCAACTCCATCGGTTGTTCGCCAATTTCCCAAGAACACGCTTTGTTTGGAAATTGAACCATGGCGGGGATCGAAGGCGGAGGGACATTGTCGGAAGTCAATCAGAGCGCCAGGAAGCTACTTCTTCGAGCAAGGGACGGGATCGAACGGTTGGAGAGGTTCGAGAGCTCCGTCTCCGGTGCCGATTCACCCGAACTCTACTTCACCGTTAAAAAAGATATCTCCCAGATCCACTCCCTATGCGCCGATATGGAACGCCTCTGCCGTTCCATCCCCGCCAAATCGCAACGCGATCTCTGGAAAAGGTATCACCGCGAAAACGCCTCATTTCTCACTTGTTCGTGAATATTCTGTTTTTTTCCTATTTGCTTCCTTACGTGTCTTCATATTTGATTTTAATATTTATCTTGTTTTCTCAATTTGATCCAATAGTCTTCTTTAATCTTCAAAAGATTTAGGTCTTGGATAATCGATTATTGACAATCGTTTCTTTCCTCATTGTTTCGGTGAATTATTCATTAATGAAACTTGAATTTTAGTTCCGGGTTGTTTTAGCTATTGTTGTATTACTCATTTTATCTCTATCCATGAGTATTAAGAATGAGAGATGGGAGGGGGCATGTTTAGCTTGTTGTCAAATTGTCAATTATCCTTACTACTATAGGTCGATGATTGTGAGAAGTCCGCATGATTAAGTTTAATTTCCTTAAAGGTGGTTAAATTGACTTGATGGTGGGTTCTAAGTGAATTCAAGCAAGTTTCAGTAAGAAAATGCTGTGCAACTAACAATTGATTCTAAGTTCAATAAATTATTATGGACAGTAGCTTGGTTGGTTCATTGTAAATCAAATTTCATGCTTCAATAAATCATAGACTCAAATATCAAGCATTAGGTTGTGAGCAAACTAAAACATCTGAAAGAGAGTGAGCATGTAAAAAGTTGTCCTGTAAAATTACAGCAACAGGTTTAATTTTTTTTTGAAGGAAAACTATTTTGAGCTCCAGGCTTGATTGACAATGCTTCTCTACGAGCTGTCTAACTGCCCTATCAAATTGTCAAATAACTTTTAGTATAACGAAAAAACTTTCATTAGTTGTATGCCTACTTGTTAGAATTTTTCTTTACTTGGTTAAGAGGTGTCCCGTGCTTTGGTTGAATTTGAAAAGAGGTAGACCTGCTTTGATGATTTTCAATTACCATGCACGATGTTATTGTAAATCATATTAGTTTTATTGTCTTACACCTTGATGTTATTTATATTTGGCGAACAGAAAAGTTGAACAAGTGGCTGAAGAGGCTGACTCTTTGAAAGATGGTCTAGACAAGTACTCTATGAGGAATCAGAAACGGTTGTTGGAAGCGAAAGAGAGAGCTGAATTGCTTGGAAGAGCTGTATGTAAAGCTTTCTGTTTTGTTGACAAATGGAGCTGATTTTATCATATCTTGAATTCATTTTACTTTATTTTCTTAGAATGGAGAGTCAGCTCATGTACTGAGAATTTTTGATGAGGAAGCACAAGCAATGCAATCAGTTCGAAACTCTTCCAGAATGTTGCAAGAATCTTTTGAAACTGGAACAGCTATCCTTTCCAAATATGCAGAACAAAGAGATCGCCTCAAGGTACAAACAAATGAGGCCCTTTGCTGTTGCATTTCTTGTTAAATATTTTAAATTAAAAATGAGCAGATGCAGTTAACATCACAGCAGATCTAACAGCTTTAATGTATGTTATAGTCACAATTGGTTTTATTAATGGTGTGGTTTTTGTTAACTTGGGTTTCTTCTCTTTTCCACCCCTAATTAGAAACTATATCATAACTAACTCCTGAGGAATATTGCCTTGTATTAGCCTGGTTACTCTTGACTTCAATTATTCTTGAAATAACCCTTTCTGACTTTTATGTCTGATGCATATCTGGACATAGGTATGGGAATATGATATTGACCTCCAATGACTCCAAATACATAGAAAGCTTAAATTGAACATATCCATGTCGAGCATATATCCATACTCTCACACTCGAGTTCCAAGTAAGATCGGTGCGGTTATGCTGATTAGTTAGTGGATGCTGCATTAATATTTTAATCTATAGTTGAGTGCACTATATTGTGAATTGTGAATTGTTTAATTTTGTTAACAATATAGATTCTCAGGTGCCGCAACTGAAGTGATTACTCGTATATTGTTGATAGCTCAAGTCATTCTTGAAACAAGAAAATGGTGCTTGGCAATGCATTTTTATGTTATTGCAAGTTGTGATCACTAATAAGTTTTTGAACCATCTTGTTTTTGATCAGAGAGCACAACGAAAGGCCTTGGATGTACTGAACACAGTAGGGCTCTCCAACACCGTCCTGAGGCTTATCGAGAGGAGGAACCGTGTTGATTCATGGATCAAATATGTAGGGATGGTTTTGACAGTTGTCATTGTGTATTTCTTCTGGAAATGGACCCGGTGATTTGCACTTTTTTCCCTCCTCAGCACGAAGGTTTGTTTTTCTGGATTCTCTGATCATGTTAAGAAGGCAAATATCGCAAGTTTAAACGAGAAGAGCTTCGATATAAGTACAGATGACAAAAATGGATGGTGTCATTTCAAACTTGCATTGAAGAGGAAGTTGTTGATTCGGAATACGAGTATGTGAAAAGAATTGGAAGAACTAATGGCCGAAGCAATTATAGCTTGTGTAGTTAGTCTGTATCGATGTGCTGATATAAATGCAGAATTTGGGATTATAGATTGTTAATTTGATATTTTTGAGCTGATCAGATCGTTAATATGAAGATTTTAATCTCTTTTCTTTCTTCTGGAAACAGTGTCTGTAAGCGCTTTAATCAAAATGCCCCTTGGTATTTGCTTGAGATGAAATTAGAGTATCTGTCGAAAGTTGCTTGTTATGAACCGTGACTGCAAATTCAGTTATATCTGTTCAAGGGTTAGTATATTTCATTTGTTTAGTAAGTTCATCAGTCCGGGATGGATCGAGGTACGTTGGATGATCAACCCCTAAAAATTTTAAATTATATATATATATATATATATATATATATATTGTATTTTTATTGATGTTTTCTCTCTTAAAATTTTATAAGTTTGACATTTTATAAAATTTTATAAATTCATCCCCTCAACATAAAATCATTCGTGTCTGATCATAGATGCTAGGGTAAATGAATTGTTGTTATTCCTTGAAGACTCAGGTTCGAGCACCATAGATTCTAAGGGTGTGAGTGTTCAATGTCAAAAGTTTGAGAGTTATCTTTGAACAGATACTCTCTTGTATTTATCTTAGATTAATCCAAAAAAAAAAATCATTCGTCAGACTTTGATAATAATTTATATCAAGTTTAAGATGAGATTTCTCTATTTGAATAATTTAAAATAAACTATAAAATATATCATTAATGTAATTCTTTTTTATGTACGTTCAAACAGGAATGAGATTTATAGTTGTTTTGTTGAAATGAAAATCCATGTTCATTTGCATTTTGCATGTAACAACAGAAGTAACTTGAAATTAAATTTAAATTTACAAGTAGATGACAAAAAAATAAATTTGAATCCAAATCCTAATGTTTAGAATGTATTTCATGTTTTCTTAGGGTTAGATTTGACAACGCTATAATTGATCAAGATGACGCTTTCTTATAATTTTGTTGATTTTTCAATTGTAGACCCCCAGATCGAATTTGAATACACAATTTTATGCTTATCGAATTTGAATTCACAATTTTACGCTTGTGAATAGTTTCTCACGACGTTCGGCTCTGATTTGTAGTTTTCATTGGTATTTCAATAGCTTAAGCTTCTTTTGTGTTTCATTTGATGACACAAGATTTATTCGTATTTATTTTTCGTTCATGTCTTTTGGTTGGGTGTGACGTTTTCCATATATGGTCCTTGTATGATCTAAAATGTGTCAATGTTATAAGAAAATATCAAAATTATGTATTTAGTTAGCTATGATAGTTGTAAACCCTTACTATAATTTTATATATATATTTTTTTTAATAAATTAGATGTTTATATTAAATATAAATATATACATATAAACATGTAGTTTTATTCTATTATAAAAAGTAATTTTATTATCTTAAAAGGATAGTTACTGTATTGAAAAATAGCTATGAATTATTTTTAATACACAAAGGCCAAACCCTAAACAAATCCATTATCTTACGGTGGAGAAATCCCAACAGTTAAAGGCATACTTTATATATATATATATATATATATATATATATATATATATATATATATATATATATATATATCTTTGTTTGGCTTGAATTTTTGGATTTTACTTATTTTAAAATTTGTATAAAATTAAAAGAATTGTATATTGTGTAAAGTTAGGATATGCTTATACTATATAAAATTAATAAGTTTTACATTAATTTATAGAAATTAGAGTTAAATAAAGAAATAGTTTAGTTTTAATTAAATTTTAGAGTATATTACACATTTACTACCTAAATTATTAGTTTTTGTTCGTTTTAGTACCTAAATTTTCAATTTTTCAAAATCATACATAATGTTTAATTTTTGTTTCATTTTAGTACCCGTCATTAAATATGTATCGTGTTTAGTACCTAAACTATTAGTTTTGGTTCATTTTAGTACCTAAACTTTCAAATTTTTTTTCCAATACTTAATGTTAAATTTTGAACGAGGTACTAAAATGAAACAAATTTAGATATGGTTTGGAAAATTGAAATTTTAGGTACTAAAATGGACCAAAACTAATAGTTTATGAACTAAACGCATAATTTAACCTAAAATTTATAACCCATAAATATCTTTTATCTCACAGTAAAACAATATCTCTTTCTACTCCAATCCAAAATCTAACCTCAAATCCCAAAATATCAAATCCAAATAGTTGAGGATAATTAGAAATTTTGAAATAATAAGCTATTTATAAGCTTATCACCGGGGTTAAAATCGTCCACATTGATTCACCATAAACACAATTTTTTATTTTCGAAAATAACAAGTATAGCCATTTGATTTGTTGATAAATAGTTGTTATAGCATCTATAATATTAAACAAATTTGGACAATTTTGGGATTGAATTCATAAGAGCTTAAGAAAACTCATCCTCTCTAGCGGCTTGTAATACCCTTTTCCTGTTTCTGTTATCGAATACGAGTCAGAGATGTCACATAACACTTTTAAAACATACCTTATTCGAAAATCGATAAAATTTTGTTTCCTTAGAAATCATTCAATTTAACCTTAATAACTGAAAATTAATATTAATTGTGTAAAATCGAAAGTAATATTTAAAATTAATTTTCAGTTCTGATTTTAGGCAACAACATGACATTTCTATAATGTTTCATATAAGAAGTGAATCTGCCTAAAAATTACCTAAATAAAATTCATTTTTATGCTAATAAAATATACTTTTATTAAATATAAAACTAAAACTCATATTTATAACCATATTTTACTTACTAAAATCCACACATATAAATGGTTACGAACCATTTAAACGCCATACACATATAAAAGCATTTCTAATTCATCTCAAATCTAACCATATTATAATATTACAGACACTTATTATACGTATAAATGCCAACTAGAAATCAAACAATAGTAGAGTGTCATTAATGATACCGGTAAATAGTCTTCGATGATTGATGACAAGCTCAACTGCTTACTCCACTTGCTTTTTTTTTTACCTACACGTGAAAATCATCACACATTGAGTATACACTTAGTGAGGCATTAACAATACTAAAGTAAAATATCGATATATATAAAACTCCATATAAAACATAATACGGTAAATATCATATAATTATATATATATATATTTATATAAACATGTAAAATAGACTTATTGAAGTCATTCCCTTTTCATATAACATGTAAAAACAACAGTTCATATAGGTAAATATATCACATATAACCATATAATAATCATTGAAAGATTTACTTTCATCCTAATCAGTCACCTACACTTTTCAATTTCAATTTATTTAAACCACAACCCAATGTATATCAATGAGAATGAAAGGTACATGAGTCTCGTCGAGTGTGCTCAATATGCACTCAAAAGTGTCTCGTAGATAATTTGCACCATATAAAATGTACACGAATGTACCTCATAGAATGTACAAATATGTATCATATAATCACTCCACCTCATGGCATGTTAATTGTACCTACGACTCTCAATACACATACAATGTGATTTTTATACCAAAATCATATATCATTCATTTATTAGAAGTATCCATAGATACCAACATATCAAAATATCATATAAAGGTGCGTTGGGTAGTTTGTACCTAAAATCATCCATAAATATTTAGTAAAATATCATATAAAAATGCATTGGGCATATCATACCCAAAATCATCTAAATACCATTTTGTAAAACAATATAAAAATAAATCAAAATACAATTTAAATACTTTTCTTTCCAAACCATTCTAGGTTTACTCATTTCAAGTCTTCCTCATATCATATCATACATACATACATACATACATACATACATACATACATACATACATACATACATACATACATATACATACATACATACATACATACATACATACATACATACATACATATACATACATACATACATACATACATACATACATACATACATACATACATACATACATACATATACATACATACATACATACATACATACATACATACATACATACATACATACATACATACATACATACATACATACATACACATACATACATACATACATACATACATACATACATACATACATACATACATACATACATACATACATACATACATACATACATACATACATACATACATACATACATACATACATACATACATACATACATACATACATACATACATACATACATACATACATACATACATACATACATACATACATACATACATACATACATACATACATACATACATACATACATACATACATACATACATACATACATACATACATACATACATACATACATACATACATACATACATACATACATACATACATACATACATACATACATACATACATACATACATACATACATACATACATACATACATACATACATACATACATACATACATACATACATACATACATACATACATACATACATGCATACATACATACATACATACATACATACATACATGCATGCATGCATACATACATACATACATACATACATACATACATACATACATATATACATATATATATACATATATATATATATATATAAGGTAAAATGCACTCACCTGATACACTTAGCTTGTAAAACTTTCTTAGCAATTCAAGTTTCTCTCCCGGAATTTTTCCTTAGCTTTAAGCTTGCTTTGATTTTGATTTCGATCACGATATATACGAACATCATTTTTTGAAACATATACATTTCGAAGTACTTGTTAGTATCATACTAACATAGGCGTACATTAGCATAAAAATTGCTAAAAATTCTTTCAATGCTTATTCAATACTAATTACATTTCATATGATCAAGGTCAACTTTAACACTTCAAATTCCTTTACTATTCATATTCATCAATAGTTCACATGGCATTTCCAATTTCACAACTCAACCAATAAAATGAATTCTTTTAGAATTCACCTCAACATTTCCAAAATATTCAAAATGATCCCTTGCCATTTAACTTCAATTCAAGCTTCAAATAACATACTTAAGCATTCCAACAATGCATTTAAACATTACACATCAACTTCTAATCAATTTTAATTTCAATCCCATAATTCCTACAATATGATATTTGGTCCTCACCGCTTTACAAACTTCCAAATTGATCCAAACAACATTCTAAAACTTGTAGAATCATTCATACGTCATTTCTAACCTTAGGCAAATTTTTCATATTTTTCCTACAATGGTTGAATATGAAGGGTTGATATATTCATGATTTACAACTTGATTCAAGCATGAATTCAACATCTAAACATCATTTCCATGCATTTATAATCATTACCACATCAAATTCAAATCAAGCAACTAAATTCCATAAAATCCCTAACATGGTCGAATGGTGTATTTGATGATTTCAATGATTTCAATCATCATACAAGCATAGAAATGAATCAACAACATCAACTACAACAAAATCTAATCTTAGAACATCAAAATCAAAACTCTATGTAATCTACCCAATTCATGAAACTAAGGTTCCAAGCAAGGAAAGCATGAACAAATGGTACCAAATTATAGAAAATTTCATGTAGATCAAATTTGTATTTCACGATTTCATCATAAATCCTAATAAATTGGCTTGAAAATAAAAAATAATTTTTTCCTTACCTTAGTGTAACTCACAGCAATGGAGAATTGGAAAATATGAAGTCTTGATTTTTCTAATAAAATATCTAATGCCATTTGTCTTATAAATAATTAAAATGAATTAAAAATTCATTTGAATTCCAAATGACCATTTTGCCCTTAAATTCTCATGATAATTACCAATCCACATGTCCAAAATTCAAAGATGAACTAACAATTTCATATATTCCAATTTTACCCTTGTACTTTTCTAAAATTACCCTTGTACTTTCCTAAAATTACAATATTGTCATTTTCATCTAATGATCTCGGTCGAACATAGAAAATCAATCTTAAATCTAATGATCCATATTAAATTCTACCAATTTGAAATATCTAAATAACATTACTAACCTTGTCCTATCATCATTCAAAATATTTCAAAAATCTAATTCGATCTGATTATCTGAATTTTTCTCGAACTTTATCGCTTTAAATGTAAACTCTGTATTGAAAATCCGAGTGACATAAAAGTATCATTCTTGGGGGATAAAATATTCAATTACAGGATAAAATATATATTTTAGAAAATTACCATTTTAATCCCTTAACTTTTCCCAATTTTACGTTTTGATTACTAAACTTTAAAAAAGTGCATTTTGGTCACTACCCAAAATTTTGGGGTATTGCAAGTCAATTTCATTTAGTCCTTCGAAGTAGGACTACATCACTGATGAGTGTTTAGAATCGTTAATATATGTTCGTTATTTCTTCGATTTTGTGAAGTTATTGCTACTGATTTGGTTGTGTTATGTCTATTTTCGTGCAGGTCCTACTTTCCAGAATTGGTGATAAAACGGGCGAATTCTGCATTTTTTTTATTATTTGGTCACGGCTGGAGACATGGGCACGACTCTGGGCACGACGCGGTCTGACGTGGCAGTTTCTAGAAGGTCCAGTCAGCGGCGGTTTCTAGAAGACTTCGTCTGCACGCCTTTTGGAAGATTGACGAGCAGAGTTGCATTAGGAGACTAGTTTAAGTTTGAATTTAAATTTAAAAACAATTATCTTTTGTATTATTTTATTATTTTCTTTGTTTATCCTTTAGGCTTTGAGAGGCTATAAATACCCACTTGGGGTAAGCCTAAAATCATCATTCGGAATACATTCTTCTTTTCTCTCTAGTTTTTATAAAAGCTTTTCTTTTTACTTTTCAAGTTCTTTTCATTTTTCTTATTTTCAAGTTTTGATTTTTATGCTAAGTATGACTTTTGTCATGCTTAGCTAAACTTTTCATAAGCCGAGAGTTGTCGCGATGATTCAATTCCAACGGGAGAATTGAAACGGTCCCTTAATATCTTCGGAATATCTCTCTCAATCTCTGCGCTTATTTTTTCAAAATCAAAACAGTTTTCAAAATCAAAGATTGACTTTGGTCAAGAGGTTGTTGCGATTAAACGTGTGGGAGGAAGATTCGACTTATAGAAAGCAATTCGACTTCCTGGGAACACACTTGGCGAGATAGCTTCGCCAAGAGGGATTTGAGATCGGAATTGACGGTTATAGAAGCAACAATCCGAGTCGGACGCCACGAACTTAAACGGTAATTGATCTACAACAATTGATGTTGTTAGAATCAATTACCGAAGACAGAATCAAAGATTGCCTTGGGTATTCGGTATACAAGATAGAGTCACAAGGATAGCCCTTGTAGACAAAGTAACCGACGTGAATCCCGAAGAGAAAATCTTATTCGATGATCTACGGAAATTGAGTCAAAGCAAAGCTTGAGGCTATTTTCACAGTATTTATTCACAACCTTATTTCTCCTATTTTTACTTCAATTGCTTTATTTAATCATCTTTATTACTATTTAAATCTCATTCTACCCAAAACCCCCCATTCTACTATCTTTCACGCCTGCCATAGACCAATTAAACATTAAATTAAGAATTTTCCAAGTCTCTGTGGATTCGACCCTACTTCTCTACGCTACGAATTTTTCTTTAATTATTATCCGAGAATAAGGAATTTATTTTGACATCAAAACGACAGTTGTCAAATTGGCGCCGTTGCCGGGGACTTCGCCAAAGTTACTATTTTTTTTGTTTGTTTTTGATTTATGACCAGGACTAATCCGGGGACATGTTTTTGATTTATGACCAGGACTAATCCGGGGACATTAGTGGAGTAAAACCCGGAGATCGAAGCTGAAGCTAGGAGACTCCACGCACAGACACTTCGGGAAAGAAGGAGACAACAATCAGATCCAGAAGAAGAATCAAATTCAGGTAATACAATCCTGATGGTCGAACCTACTATTCGAGAGTTAGCTGCGGCACCCACTGAACAAGGACCTATGTGCATTAATTTTCCCCAAGGCGAAACTCCATACCAGTTGAAAACCGGTCTTATTCATCTCTTCCCTACATTCCGCGGATTACCAAACGAGGATCCACACAAACATCTCAAAGAATTTCACATGGTCTGCTCTAGCATGACACCACAGGGAGTAACCGAGGATCAAATCAAACTTAGAGCTTTTCCTTTTTCTTTAGCCGATTCAACTAAGGAGTGGTTATTTTATATTCCTCCTAATTCTATTACTACATAGGCTCAAATGACTCGTTGTTTTCTTGACAGGTTTTTCCCTGCGGAAAAAGTAAGTGAATTACAAAGAAGAATACTTGGAATCAAGCAACTTGATGGAGAGTCGCTCTACGACTACTGGGAGCGGTTTAAGAAATTATGTTCTAGTTGCCCACAACATGGGTTATCTGAACAAACACTCCTTCAATACTTTTACGAAGGACTATCTCCCCTGAAAATGAAGATGATCGATGCAGCCAACGGTGGAGCCTTGGTGAATATGAATCCTACTAAAGCAAGAGACTTAATATCGACGATGGCTGCAAATTCCCAACAGTTCTGCGCAAATAATGAACCTTCTCGAAGGGTTCATGAGATAAGTTCATCTTCCTTGGAAAATAAAATTGACAAGTTAACTGAAGTCGTAAACTCTCTTGTTGCAGGAAAGACAAGACAAAACCGATTATGTGGAATATGTGCACTACCTGATCATCCAACAGACGGTTGTCCACTGATTCAAGACGATGCAACAGCTCAACTCAACGTAGTCAGAAACTTCCCGGGACCTACCCAAAAAGCTTATAATCCTTACGGTAATACATACAACCCAAGATGGAGGGATCATCCAAACTTCAGTTATGCGCAGAACCCGAGACTGAATCAAGGCTATCAAGCGAGACCTTCACCACAACAACAGCCACCGAAGACATCACTAGAATCGATTGTCGAAAGGTTAGCACTATCCCAGGAGAAATTCCAGACCCGAACTGAAGCCCACTTCCAAGAGATGGACAAGCAATTAAGCCAACTGACTCAAACCATTGGGAGATTAGATTCACAAGGTAAACTTCCGTCTCAAACTGAAGTGAATCTGAGGGAAAACGTTAGCGCCATCACCCTTCAGAGTGGTACAGTAGTAGCGCCACCTATCCCATCGAACCAAGCAGTCCAAAAATAAAAGAAGACCAATGACGCAAGATCCCAGAATGAGAATGAAGAAGAACAAGTGGACGATCCGACGCCATCTCCCTATGACGTGCCACCACCTTTTCCATCAAGGTTAGTTAAAAATGATAAAAAAACCGAAGAAAAGGAAATATTAGACGTACTTCGGAAGGTGGAAGTTAATATACCTCTCCTTGAGGTTATCCGAAAAGTTCCAAGGTATGCCCGGTTTTTGAAGGATCTCTGTACAACAAAGAGGAAGCTTACCGGAGTCGAGAAAGTAAGCTTAGGAGCGAATGTCTTAGCCGTTTTCCAACGAAAGTTACCACCTAAACTGAAGGACCAAGGTATGTTCGCAATCCCTTGTAAAATTGGTAAGGTTGAGATTAAAGTGCATCAATTAATGTAATGCCTCTATCTGTCTATAAAATGGTCACTAATGATCATTTGAAGGATACAAAGATTTCGATACAGCTTGCCGATAGGTCGGTAATCTATCCTAAAAGACTCTTGGGGAATGTATTGGTGGAAGTAAACGACTTGATATTTCCCGTCGATTTTTATATAATCGACATGGAGAATGAACGCACGAGCACATCGTCCGATATTCTTTTGGGGTGCCCTTTCCTGAGCACTGCACACACAAAAATTAACGTGAGAAGCGAAATTTAACTATGGAGTTTGACGGTGAGATCGTTAAATTTGACGTATATAAGGCAATGAGATATCCTGATAAAGTGGAAAGTTTAAATTCTGTCGACTCAATTGATCCTTTGGCTGACGAATTTTTAAAGACTAATTTCTCTTTTGATATATGCAGGGAGCTGGAGGGTCATGATGAGAACGTGAATTATGATCATACAGAATTGAATTTGATTTCTTCTAAAATCTTACCTTCTGTTCTGCAGGCACCCGAAGTTGAACTTAAACAATTGCCTGACCACTTGAAATACGCCTTCCTTGGACGAAACAGCACTTTGCCAGTAATCATATCAAAAGGGTTATCCGAGGAGGAGAAAAAAGACTTAATCACGGTTTTGCGCCAAAACAAGGGGGCTATAGGATGGACCATCGCTGATGTAGATGTTCATTTTGTCCGGGACGTCTTATGTGTATCCTTATGATTAATTTCTGGTTATTACTAAGTTCGTAGGACACATTAGTTAGGGTTATCATTAATGATATGTGGGATTTCATAGTGGTTACGTGTTCTATATTAGTGATGCATACGAGTATATACATTGGGTACTTATAAATATTATAGTATTTATATATATAAATAAGTAAGTAACTAAATACTAATTAATGTTTTATTTTGGTCTTTTACAGATTCTAATTAAACTAAGATTACAACAGGCTGGACCAAACGAGCCCAGTTCCCAACAACCCAGTTCTTCAGCCCAACTGAAGAAACCCTAACCCATTAGGGTTTCCTTGTCACCAGCCTCTAGCGCCGCAGCAGGAAGGCCGTTGGATCTGGCTCCACGATCCAACGGTTCCCAGCCCTCTGTGATTCCCGAGCCAACTGCAGACTCACGTGAAGCCACCACCGCGTTTCCAGATCGCGCACGACCAACCGAGCAATGGCTCAGCTACCCACTGCTGCCGCCCGTGACCTGCTCCCTCCATGTGACCCTGCAAACACACCAAACGAGAGCAGAAACAGACGAAAACAAAACTAGAGAGGAGGAGATCAACTAGAAATAAGGAAAGAAAATGGGAGGAGAGGGGACTCTCAGTCATCGGCAACAGGAGAGAACAGAGAAAATAGAAAGAAAACGGGAATCAACAACAAAAAAAAACACACAGAGAGAACACCAAAAGCAGTAACCATAATCATCTTTGAGATCCATCAGCAACCCAAAAAATCCATAGACCCAAAAACGAAACAACCAAAGATAGAAGTGAAAACTTTTACCTTCCTGGAGCCATCACTGTCGCTTGAAAGACCTAACCCGTTGAGTAACCAGGGGTAAGCCGTCATTTCCTCTTCTGTTCTGTTCTTTGGTTTCACCCGGGTTTGGGCGAGGAAGGAGGGGTTTGATTTAGAGAAAGGTAGGTCTAAGGTCTGTAGGAAGGAGAGGTTGGTTTTGTAAGGGTATTAGAGGGTAAAGCCGGCTGAGAGGTTCTGTTAGGGGATTTTTGGGAAGTCTAGTGTTAGTCTCGTGATGGGGTTGAAGTTTTCTGGTAGGGGTTAGTCTCGGTCTTAGACGGTGGTCGTGAAGATCTTTGGGTTTTGAGGCGGCGGAGGCTTTGGTTTTCGGGGTTGTAGAGGAGTTTTGAGAGGCTTGGCTTGGATCTAGGCCTAGGTGGTTACTCTTGAGTGGAGGAGAGAGCTCGGGCCGCCTTAGACTCCTCATCGGAGCCCTAAACGGCGGAGGCTGCGGCGACTGATAAGGTTTCTGTTAGGGGTGCGAGATTAGGAGAGAGTTTGAGGGAGAGAAGAAGGAAAACGGCGGGGCTTGGTTTGGTCTGGCTGAAGGGAAGTGATTTAGGGTTTCAGATTTTACCCTAATAACCTATATAACAGAACGCCAGAACGGCGTCGTTTCGTTTAGGCCCAAAACGGTAGCGTTTTGATAGCTGAGGGGAAAACTGTGTGTTTTAGGAAAAGGGTTAATGTCTGGCGTGGCCATCCCAACCTTGTTTCATTTCGATTTGGTCCCTATACCGAACTTTGTTATCTTTTGATTTTGTATCTTAATTTTCAGCGTGTTACATCTAAGTCCAGAACCATGTTAGGGCCATTTTAATGTTGTTTAGGCATTGGATGTGTAATTTGAGAAACTTTCAATTTGGTCATTTGCAGTATTTTGGTTGTATTATGTTTGCAATACCCAAAAATGAAATGTTATGAGAGAACTTGTTATTTGTTTTTTATGTTTTAGTCCTTCTAATATTTTAGGCATGTTTGTTAGGCTAATTAGATTTATTTTAAATATGTTGCATGTGTATATTATTTCGAGCATGTTGTCCATACGCACTTAGGTGTATTTCTTTTTAAAGCATGTTAGCCTCGTTTACTTTAATCGCGTGTTCAATTAATCTCTGCATTAACATCACTTTGTATGATTTGCATGATATCCTCATATGCATAACTTGACATTATCGCATAATCGGAATTTAGGGTAATGCCCTTTTAATCTAAAATTATCAGAATGGTCTTCCTTAACTTACAGGAAAGTTGTTTTGACGATTTTAAATTAAAATGGTATCCCGTCAGTAACGCCTAATTAAATTTGGATATATCATTGTAAAATTTGGAAGCGAAAGAAAAGGAAATATTCGACTATTTAAACTTTTCGAGAAAAGGTCGTTAGAACTGAACTAAAGATCTGGTCTCGATATTTTTAAATAATCGAATATCCTTTATCTTTCTAATGACTTGGTAATTTTAATTAAATCTGTTTTGTTCCTTTTCAATGTTTCAAATTTGCATTTTTGTTGTCTTAAGGGATCATAAATCAAATTAAATTCGAACTTGTGAAATTCGTTGCAAAGACAATAATTAATCGACGAGGTACCGATTTAGGGCGTTGTGGGGGTGCTAATCCTTCCCCACGCGTAACCGACTCCCGAACTCAGATTTTGATAACGCAGACCTTTACTTGTTGTTTTAATTAAAATTAATTTTTATTTAAAATGACAAAATGTTTTTGGGTGCCCAATCACACCCTAATCAAAGATTGGTGGCGACTCCTCGAACCTTATATTTTTACCGTAACGGAATTTCCAATTTTTCGAAACGAGAGGTTTTCTAAAATTGCATCGTTTTTTAATCAAAAATCCAATTGAGAAGAGAATAATTAAAAATGACGCGGTTTCCAAAATCACCCTGCCGTTTAAAAATCGTTTCGACAGCTTGGCGACTCCGCTGGGGATCCTTTTTTTAGAGAGTCAGGCCGATAGTCGATTAATTAATTGTCTTTGCAAACGAAAGTGATAAGTTCGTTTTAATTTCGTTTTTGATCCCTTGTTTGTTTGGAATTTCTTGTTTTCATTTTTTTATTTGGTTTATAAATAAATAGTTGTACTAACGTGTGATCTACATGTTTCAGTTTTCTGACCTTCACTTTGTTGTGTTTCTTTGATCGAGGCAAAGGATTATGAGTTTCCCCATTGTTGCTATAACTTTTTCTAGAGCCTTCTAACTGTGCTCTGTCCTATTAAGTAGGGGTGAAAGCTACGCTTACGTGAGAAAAATTATTTTTCTCCGCATGGGCTTTAGCTAGTAACCTCTGGGGTACATGCCTTATGTTTACGAGTGAAACATTGAGTTTCCTCGCATGGACATAGGGAAATGTATCCTCTCGAAATTGAACTTGATCCGTTTTAAGCCTATAATGGGCGAGGATCGAGGGTCTGGCAAGCCCAAGGGGGCACCAGCAAAAGACAATTCGAGGACCCTTTTAGAAATACTGAAACTCTGCCCATCTTATGTTGAATCTCTGTCCACAGACACAAAGGGGAAACTCATTCTAACTTTTCCCTCGAATTTATTTTTTTGCAAAAAGTATGCGAACTAGAGATCATGTGGTTAGGTTTATTTTTCAAACATGCATGTGAATTAGATACCATGCGGTTAGGATTTTTTAGGAGTAACAAAACATGTGGGTAAATATCATGTCGGGTAGGATCTACTAAAGCATGATTCGGTAGACGCCATGTTGGGTAGATACCATGTGAATTAGGTTTAGGATGTATATATTTTCTATCTTCATGTTGTTTGTTTATTCTTTGACTATTCATTGTATATACTAACACAGTTTTATTTTTGTTTGTGTTTTATTTATTACCGCTGCATTGCATCATCATTCATGAAGAAAGGTGTTGATTCACAAGGTGGTCATAAAAGTAGAAGGCGGTCATAAAATGGACAAGAGCTTTCATAACAAGGAAGTGGATAACGCAGAAGTGAGGTCGTGGTCCGAGGAAACTCAGAGGAAGAAAGGCGACAGTTTGACTGAAGATTACATATCAGTACTACCAGAGGTTGCTCCGGTCAGTCTAAAGCAAAACGATTTGCAAGAGTTACGCGAAATTTGGGAAAGTTGGAATTCTGAGGTGAAATACTCTTTCTGGCAAAAGTATGGTGACATCGCCCTTCTGTTGTATGTGAAAGTAAACGAACCCCTAATCAAAGCTCTCGTCCAGTTTTGGAATCCCGCGTATAGCTGCTTCACTTTCAACAAGGAAGACATGACTCCCACGTTAGAAGAATACACCTCCTTGTTTCATTTCGAGACGATACACTTGGACCGTATCTACTCAAAAGCCTCAAGGACCCAATCCTTTAAGAGCAAGCTCGCAAGGATTACTGGGATGGGAGAGAAGTGGGTTGCTGATCGAATCCAAAAGAAGGGAGAGTCCGATTGCTTCCCTTGGTCATGACTCAAGGAGCTTATCGTCAAGCATAGCGATATCGAGAAGAGCATGGAGATGTTCGCCTTGGGAATTTATGGTTTGATGATTTTCCCGAAAGTTCTTTATCACGTGGAAGCCGCAGTGGTCGATTTATTCGAGCGTTTGGAAAGGAAGGTAAACCCTGTTCCTGCAGTTTTGGCTGAAACATTCAGAGCACTTAGCAGTTGCAGAAGAGCTGAGAGTAGCCGCTTCACCGGGTGTGTCCAGCTGCTTACTGTTTGGATACGCAGTCACTTCTGGAAAATTGACCGAGAGTATAGTCGACGGTTTTCTACGGCCTATTCACCCTTAAAAGATTTCCTCACTAAAGAGTGGCCAGAGCATCTCACCAGGAAAGATTGGGTTTCACTCTTCAGAAATTTACAGGAACATGATATAGTGTGGCGTATCCCCTGGTTAGCTTTTGTGGATGTGTTGTACAAATGCGGGGATTTCGATTGGGTAACCCTATTAGGGTTATGGGGTGGAGTAGGTTATGCGCCACTGATGGTACTAAGGCAATTTGGGGCACGCCAATTCGTCCCAGCTACATCCGGTCTGAAGGCATCTGAATTTGTGTACTGTGGAGATCATTACAAGAAGACTGCTCGTGCAATGTCAGAGGCGTGGAAGTCAACCTTTAGAACTGATTTCATAGCGGCTGAGGTCATGCTGACACCAGATTACGTGGCATGGAGGGCGGTGCGAAAGAATGATATCCTTCCGTTGGCGGATCGCGACCAAACAATTCCTTTGGAAGTACAGTTTAAAAACGTACCGTCTAAGTTGGAGATACTGAAGAGTGAATTCGAAGCGGAAATCGCCAGGAAGGAAGCGGAGTGTGAGGCCCTTATACAAAAGAATTTCATGTTGGACATCGATAGGGGATTCTATAATACACAGTTTGAGCTTATGCGCAAGAGAAAGGATGAAGTGGAGGCCAATCTCACTAGTTTACAGAGTGATTACCAAAAGATGAGTCGAGCACGGGCAATTGCTGGCCTCGGGAGAACTTCAGAGCAGTGGCGGTTAGAGCTCCGGGCTGAGAGGGATCGTCGAGTTAGAGACGTCAGAGCCGAGAGAGAGCACCGAGTCAGAGAATTAGAGACAGTGAAGAAGAAAAGAAATCAAGAACTTGAGTCCGAGAGAAGGTCCTGGGTTAGGGCACTGAAGAGCGAAAGGACAGAGGCTAAGGAGTTAAGACAAAGGTACACCTTGAGCAAGAAGCGAGAAGAAGAATTGCATGCTAATATTGAAGAACTCAGAATGAAGGCAAATAACATGCAACTTGAACTTGAGGTTAGAAAGCAAAGAATCGACGAGCTCGAAACTGAGAAGAGGCAAAGCAAAGAAGAGCTAAAATTAGAAAGGCAACATCGGGAGAATGTGCTCCAAGGCAAACAGGATGAAGTATTCCTCTGGATACAGAGATGCGGAGCAAAGAACGAACGGATAGAGGTACTCAATCAAAGATGCACGAAATGGAATCAAGGCATGAGGGAGAGCTAGCTCGAGCCAAGGCAAAGAATGAAGAGTACAGTGCCTACGTTATGCAGCTTGAAAGTTCCTTATCTGCAGAAAACAGTCAGCGTTGCCAAGTGGATCAGAGGGTTAGCCTCGAGGAGAACGCTGCTTTGCAAAAGAAGATTCATGATTTAGAGGCTGCCTTACGAAGCTGCCAGACACAAATCGCTGGTCTCGAGCGCGCCGTCCAAGGCACCAGACTGCAATGGCAAAACTCAAACGATCACTTTAGAGACTGGAAGACAAACGTGAATCACGTGATCCGAGAGACCATGAATCAGTTAAGCGGCGTTGCGAGGCAGTTGGGAGAGATGGACCTCCAAGCAAAAGTCATCCAGAGCTATGCCAATCCAGCATCAGGCGTAGGAAAGAGGGTCGATTGGCTTGTCAGTCAGATAGTAGAGCTGAACATGAGAGCTAGGCCATTTCTGTAGTGGACTTTTCTTGTAAAGATGATGCTTTTGTCCTAAATGAAAGTTGTTCTAAGACTGATCGCGTCTTATGAATCAATGTCTTTCTGCATGCATTTGCATTTTATTTGCAATTTAAGTTTTGTATTGCATTTTTATCGCACTTCACATAATTTGCATTCATCCTCAAAGCATTAAAATTAACAATAAGGGATACATTACAGAATACTGGGAAATTTCAAGCATCACTATAACACAAGGAAGGCCATGGATGATAAGATTGCTCAAATAGAAAGAACTCAATTGCAGTTGCAAGA